ATAGGTTGTGTAAATGACAGATAATTAAGATGGGTAAAGATTCAGGTAGAAATAGATTGCGTGTGACAGATCATCTGATTTGATGCTTAGTTTAGCTCAAGATCAGTAGCAAGGATTTTTGATATGTGTACATCACACAAACATTCATACATACACTTTAAGAATGAGATGCATAAGTGCAACCTGAGGTCAATTACCATTTATGTAATCTTTAGTATACGTGACCCAAGGAGTACAAGTCTGTCTTAAGGATAAACCTTAGACAGCAGCTAAGGGAGAACTGATTGAGTGTTACTTCAAGTTTAATGATTATTTTTTTCCTGTTTTTGTGTGGAAGCTTTCTTTGTTAAGTAACTGTGCTTAAATCACAATTAAAGCATGCATTATTATTGTATCACATTTCCTGCTCCTGTTGACTTGGGTGGGGAGGAAAGACCAAAGTGTTTCCTATTCACTCAAATACAAAACTATATATTTTCTGATTATTCCACACAACGTTTTGTAAAAAGACCCCCCACCCCCCTTAAATCTACACTTATGGTGGCATGAAACCAATTCCACTGCAAGCTGTGTCAGAAGCCAGACCGTGTTGGAGACATTTTTTTTATTTCCTGTTTTTGTATGAACATTTTCTTTGTTAAGTAACTGTGTTTAAATTACAATTAAAGCATGCGTCATTATTGTATCACATTTCCTGCTCCTGTTGACTTGGGTGGGGAGGTAAGACCAGTGTTTCCTAAAAGATTGGAACAGGTAGTAGTTTCTTATAAATCAGCAGCACTTTCACTTTTCTCCAGCACAGCTTTCTCTATGAGAGGGAAGAAATTAATGTATTTTCTGATTATATTCACTCAAATACAAAACTATATATTTTCTGATTATATAACACAACGTTTTGTAAAAAGACCCCCCACCCCCCTTAAATCTACACTTATGGTGGCATAAAACCAATTCCCCTGCAAGCTGTGTCAGAAGCCAGACCGTGTTGGAGACATTTTTTTTATTTCCTGTTTTTGTATGAACATTTCCTTTGTTAAGTACCTGTGTTTAAATCACAATTAAAGCATGCATCATTGTAAAGTATTGAGTTGGCCAGCTTATAACCCACATTTTACTCCAGCATTGTATGATTATAGGTATAGACAGTGGTCTATAGGTGGTATTACCGCTCTCTGTAAAATGCTGTCAAATGGGAAATTTGACAGTTTCCAGAAATTATGCGACTCATTTGACCCTGGTAAACAGGATTTTTTTTTTAGATATTTACAGATCCGTCACTTCTGTATAAAAGAGGTTAAAGGTCCCAGCCCGGGTCCTTTCTCAGGACTGACTTTTTTATGGATGCATATGATGGTGAAGGAAATAAAGGGGTTATTGGCAAACTGTACAAAGCCATCTGTTTAATGAATAAAAATTCTACTAATTATGTGAGACTTCGCTGGGAACAAGATACACAGGAAAAGATCCCAGAGAAAGCATGGTCACGAGTATGGGAAAACCATTGTACTTCCACTAATTCATTGATTTGGAGGGATTTTTGCTGGAAGAGTCTGATCAGATTTTTTATAATGCCCAAACTCAAATTAAGGTTAACTGGAGCCCACTTTCCCTGCTGGAGGGACTGTGGGGACATAGACCATGCGCATGTAGTATGGTGTTGCCCAAAAATTCAATCCTTTTGGATTAATATGGGGAGATTTATTTCTGAGATCTTGGGTTTTAATGTGGAGGTGTCATTTGATTCTATGTATCTTGGTGTAACCCCTGAAGGCTTAAGTAAGAGTGATGGCTACCTATTGAATATATTTCTGGTGGCTTGTAAGAAAGCTATTACCAAGTGCTGGCTCAGAAGAAACCCTCCAACTGTGGACCTTTTTAATGAAATTGTTATTTATATTCGCTCCATGGAAATGTTGACTTACTCTGTACGTCTGTATGAGTTTTATGTTTGAAATGCTGTACCTGTAAACCTCTGATTTTAAATAAGACCTCATGTACTTTTTTTTTGCCACCTCTTTTGTGTTTTATTTTATTTTTATATGAATGTGAATCAGCTCAAAACAAAATAAAAAATTGTTACAAAAAAAAATCATAATTCAATGTAAACAAAGTCATTCAGAGTGGTTTGATGTAAAATGGTTCATTACTGACTAATTGATTTCTTTACAGTGGTGGTGATAGGAGCCAGGGGCAGGTTTTGTTATTTTGATAATGGTAAAATAGTGTTAAATCTGAAAAAAAAAAATCTTAGTGAGTGGAGATGTTTCATACTTTCTGGACTTTCTTATGTGGTCACTCAATACTGTGATATACTGTGACACTGAGATATTTAAATAGGATATCATACTGTGAAACTTTAGAAAATTGGGGTTTTAACTAAATGGTTACTTAAACCTATTCTTTTAACTTATTATTCAACTTAGAATTTTTCAAATTAACTAAAATTTTAAGGCAGCCTGGTAGTTGACGTTTTACCCACATTGTGCAGTAGGGGTGGGAATCTCTAGGCACCTAACGATTCGATTCGATTATGATTCAGAGGGCTGCGATGCGATTATAAAACGATTAGCGATGCATCTCGATGCATCTTTTTTTTCTATATAGCATTTATATTTTCTCACTGTGTGAGCTCAAGTTTCGAGTTCAAGTTTCAAGTTTATTTGTCCTTTGCACAACATGTTAGGACATTTATGCATTGAAATGCTTGTGGTGAGGCTCAGGTAATCACTCTACAGAAAGTAAATAAGTAAAAATAAAAATACAAGAAAAACCAACAGAAATATATTAAATATACACAAAATATACACAGAATATAGAGACAATATACATTTTAAAGTGACTTAATGACTCGGTGTTATTGTTATTTAAAGTGACTTGGTACCTTTAAAGCAAAGTATTTGTAATGATCCATAATGAATTTACTTCTAATATCTTTTTTAATAAAACAAATGGAAGTGATGTGGCAAGTGAACTAGAAGGCTCTCATTCACTGCTATTGTTTGGAGCAGGAGAAGCTGCTTAAAATGCGATAAAATGCACAGTTACGGTGAAATAAGATCCAGTGGTAATGGATCTCCACGCAGCACGTTACAGCTATTCTACCCATTTTCTTTAGTGATCTTATAACTTCGGTTTTGGTCTTGTTGTAGAGATGGGGGATCGCTGTGTCAGTAAAATATCTACGGGACGTGTGAAACATAGCGTGAAAGCCCTGTTTCGCAACGACTGAGAACTGGCGTGCAGACTGCAGGTCACATAGCAGAGATGCGTTATTCACATTTATAAGCAGTGCAGTTGGTTTCCTGGTACGTGAATCTGCAATCTCCTGATATAACCTGGCTTTTAATGCAGAGGGAGCCGGTCGGGTTTCTCACACATCCAGTTGTGTTTTTGTTATGTGCCTCCACAGACTGTCCAGGGTGCTGCACTTCCGCACTTCCAAGTTTTGCGTTCCGTCAACATTACGTTATAAATTAAACATTTAGAAAATCGATTTTTGACATTTGTGAATCGATTCAGAATCGTTCATGTCCGCATCGCGATGCATCTAAGAATCGATTTTTTCCTGCACCCCTATTGTGCAGTAAAATAGATCAGCATGTAGTAACAATAAAAAAGCCTTTTGTGACTGTGGGACTGTACATGTGGGATAAAACAGAGTTTAGAGTCTAAGATTGCACCCAGGTTTTATGCTTCAGGTTTGGTATACAAAGCTAAAGAGCGAAGCTTCTCATTTAGCATTTTTCTTTGAGTTTTACTACCAAGGATCAGTATTTCAGTTTTTTTGTAAGTTGTAAGAAAATTTGTGACTTCCTCCGAGAAATATCTGAAACACAGCTAGTTAGTCTGTTTACAAAGTCTTGATAATCGAAGGAATTGAAATGTACAGTTGCGTGTCATCAGCACAGCTATGAAAATGTATGTTTTCTAATGACTTCACCTACAAGTAACATGTACGAAGAGAAGGGCCCTAAAACTGAACTTCACAAAAAAAAAATAAAAATCTCCTTGATGAATGATTCCTCAGTGAAACCAAGAATTGTCCATGATTTAAACCATTTTAAAACTGTATCTGAGAGTCCTACTCAATATTTAAGGTGGTGTATTAGAATCATGTGATCAACTGTATTAAAAGCTGATACAATAAGACCAAAACAGAAGTTTTTTTTTGCATCAGCGCTGAGCCCGATGTCATTCATAACACAAACCAATGCTGTCTCAGTACTGTCATTAGAACAAAAACCTGATTGAAACTTTCTCATATAACTTGTTTGATATTAGATACACATTAAATTGTTTGAAAGTAACTTTTTCTAAGACTTTACTTAGAAAAGGAAGACTAAAAATGATTTAGTATAGAAGGATCCATGCTACTCTTTTTTAGCAGAGGCTTCACCAAGGCAGTTTTAAAAGCATCTGGACAGAGAACAGTTTACAACAGTTAAGACATTATTTTGAACACAATCAAAAACCATCTTAAGGAAAGAAATAGAAACAGCGTCAGGATCACATGTGGACGAACGTAATTTGTTTATAACAGTTTATAACAGATATTATCACTGATGTAGGTGGCTTATCAGGAAGGTTATAGGAACTACTATTTTCAGTCAGCTGAGCTATATAGTTGACTTATGATGGAAAGAAGGATTTTGGTATTATCTTTAAAGAGAAGCATTGTCAGGCATCCAGCCTCTGAGTCTGGTTCCCCCCATGGCACAGCTCCACAATATGCTTGTTAAAAGGCATCTTTTTATGGTTTGTCTTTATATATCACTGTCAAAAAAAATTATCTCAATTTTTTGCAATTTTCATTTTTGCACAGCAACTGCCCTTAATAATATGTGAAAATTTCATGATGGATGGACCAATAGAAATTATCCCAAAATTGCTGGGAATAAAATAAACTTACTTTAAAAGTAAAGAACATTTTTACCTTCTTCTGGAAAGTTATTGTTTACATTCAAAAAGGCGCTAGAATAAATCGACATGAATTACAGACAAATGTAGCATTAGTTTTATTGAAAGATTTTAACATTTTTTTTCAGAAAATCCAAAGATAAAATTGATAGTTATTTTATATACACAGTCAGATTTTCACTTCCAATACCAACTGCCCACATATACAGCAGTAGGTTTATTTGTTAGTCGCCTAAAACATCTGCTGAAATAAGATAAGACAGAACAGATCAGAATGCTGGGAACATTCAATTCTTAAAGGTGTGTTTTTCTATAAGCACATCTCATGATTAAAAAAAAAGAAAAGAAATATTACAGATGGTATAACAGTAAAACATATACAATTTTCAGAGTGTATACCAGCTTAGATTATGTTCTTTCTGCTCTTCCGTTTCTGGAGGTGAATATTATTAATTTCTACTACAGTATACTACACAGAGATCTATTTTTCCTTTTCAGTTCCCGCAATTCAGACTCCAGTTCAGCTATTCTCCTCTCTCTATCTCTGTTAGATGCTTTCTCATCTTTAAGACATGTTGCCATTTTAAACAGCTTATAATTGTAGTAGCTGTGATTGTTAGCCTTCAGCATCTTCTCAATCTTCTTGAAGAGAATTTTCACCTGAGAGCGGTCCTTCTCCCTGTTGTTGAACACATGATACCTCTCTCCACAAGCAGATATCAGGTGTTCCATGTCAGGTCCAGCATCTTCTACGAAATCTTCCACAGTCTTGTTTTCATACTCAAGATCATCTCCACGTGTGAACAGCACAATCATGTGCTTGTGCACTGCATCACCAAAGATTTCTTGGAATTTTCTGACGGTGTCGCGCTCCTCTTCAGTGAAACGCCTCACATCAATCACAAGAAGAAAGGCATGAGGTCCAGGAGCAGCCATCGTGACTCCTTTTACAGTCTCTTTGATGATAAAATCTTCAGTCATGTTTGTATCATACAAACCAGGGGTGTCAATGACTGTAACAGTTTGGCCATCAATCACTTTTGTTTTTTCTGAGCAATAAGTGGTAACAGAGGTGGCTCTGGCTTCAGACTCAAACACTTTCTCACCCAGAATGGTGTTACCTGTAGCGCTTTTGCCAACCCCAGTCTTGCCCAGTAGGACCAAACGCCACGGTTCTCTACCTGTAGGATGAATCAAAAAGAAATAGCCACTGAACAAGCTTGCCAGCATCTGTCGTGACATCAGTTAATTCCCCATAATTGTGAAATGTAACATCTTAATTTGCATACTTTATCATACTTCGCTATATTGCTGCAGTCGTTGTTAACTGACGCTCTTTTGATCTGCTGAAATTACCCTTCACTAAATTTGCATTCAGATATTTCACAAACACTCACCACTGGAAGCCATGACTGTCGCGTTAATGGTATGGTTGGAAGTTTGTGCCTTTAGAGTTGGTTTTAATATGAATTTTCCCTGGTCTCCAGGAAATTTTATATGATCTGGGCTGTGACGCCTCCTGTTTGACATACTTTTTCATGATTGGATACTTTGTGATTTGTGAGCTGGACTCTTTAGAGCTATAAATACCCTCAGGGTTCTGCCTCCTTTGTCTGTTTCTGAGTTGACTTCAGAGAGGTGAGTGCCTTATGATGTTTTGTCATAAACATTGATGCACTGTGCCATGTATTTATTCAGCTCATTTTAATACAGAAGAATGGGATATGTTTTGGATTAGCCTGCTCCATGAATGACACACTCCATTTGTGCTTAAATGCTAGAAGATGTTTGTGCAGGAAACTCTTTAACATGAAGCATTTTATCTATGTTACTTCTGTAGAGTATAATAACCTTCATGAAAAACAGGTGTGTTCTTTGGAGAGAGTGTTGTTTTGGTGTGACTTGTTTCAGTAGTTTAAATAAATAGGAATTTTTTATTGCTCAAATGTTACACTTTTTGTAACATTTTTTCCATCTGATCTCAATGTTGTCTAGGAGCAAGTACCATTAAGGAGATCTCTGTCTTTTCGGTTTGGGTGCCCCTGGTTGAATTGATTCAGTGCAGAATTACTGTTTTTATTTGCTGAATTTAACCTATTGGAAAAATTAAACATAAAATTTGGCCTGTATAAAAGTTACAGAGCATTTTATATTTTGTTTTCTTTTTTCCAATATTTTGAACTCAGCAAAAAAAATATATATATTGTTTACCAAAATTTGAAGAAAAATGCCATATTTAAGGATATGTTAACTTATTGTCAGTTAGAAAATCAACAAAACATATAATTTGACCAGAAGTGTTCAAACTTTTGCATACAATTGCATTTACAAAGTTCACAAAGGTAACATATAGATTTGGTTGTTTTTTTAAATGAATAAAGTTATTTTTTTTGTTCTTTTTGGTTCTAATATTATGTGTCACACTTTATTATGAATCTTTGTATTCGTTGACCCTGTACCACTTTCTTCATTCTAAATACATAAAAATATACATCAAAACTTGATAGCGTTCAAATAATTAAAACCAGACAACTGAAACTTTTCATCTTTTCTCAGGAAAATTACTTTTTAGCATCTGTGATTCAGTATCACTGTGGTGAAATGGCTGCTGAGACACAGAAGACAGGTGCTGATGATTCAGTACAGATTGTTTTAGTTGGTGCTACAGGCTCGGGGAAGAGCTCTTCTGGAAACACCATACTCGGCAAAAAACATTTCTTATCAGAAACATCTGCAAAGTCAGTTACACTGAAGTGCCAAAGTGCAGTGGAGATGATCAATGGTAGGCAGGTTACTGTGGTGGATACTCCAGGCTGGGACTGCACAGAACTTTCTAAACACACAGTTTTGACTGAAATACAGCAGAATCTACAGAAACTCCATGGCCCATACTCCTTCCTCCTGGTCATAAAGGTTGGTTCTGTGGAATCTAAAGAAATTGCTAAAATCTATGGTCTCAAAGACATCTTTGGTCCTTCATTCCTGGAGCACACCACAATCTTGTTTTCACACAGTGATGACCTTGAGTCAAAAACTTTTGCTGTATTTCTCAGACAAGGAGGTGAAGAGTTTCAAACCTTGTTAAGTTGCTGCAACAACAGATGCCATTCCTGGAACAACAGAGATAAAAGATCTGATGAGGATGTGGAGAAAATCTTGAAAGACCTGAAAAAGACAGAGATGAAAAAACAGCAATCAGTGAAAGGTTCCCAGGACAAAATACACAATAATAAGGCTGGAACTTCTGAGCAGAAAGAGAACAGTTTAAAGAGGTTAAGAGAGGGAGATGCACACAAATTTAAAGGACCTATCCGAGTTCTATTCCTTGGAATGACCAAGGTGGGAAAGACCTCAAGTATCAGGACTCTTCAAAGAAAATGTGAGCAGACTGAAGACATTTACACAGAGGGAAAAGGTCTGCAGCTGATAGACTCTCCTGGCTTTTCTGATGAGAATCCAAAAGAAATCCAGGAGGCCGTCTCTAAGTCTGTATCCACCCCTGGACCCCATGTCATTGTCATAGTGATGAGTGTTGGGCGCTTCAGTCCAGCAACCAAGAGAACCATGCAGCATGTTCAAGATGTTCTAGGGAAGAATGCCCCTAAATACACTTTGATCCTTTTCACTGGAAAAGACAATCTGGAAGGTGAACCTATTGAAAAATTCATTGAGAAGAATGAAGACCTGACAAAATTTGTGAACAAGAACGGGAACAGATTTCACGCTTTGAATAACAGAGACGCCAGCGACCAGAGACAAGTAGATGAACTGCTGCAGAAGATTACTAACATCTTTGAAGCAAATATGGGAGAATTTTATAAAACATAGGAAGAACGTTCAGATACAGTGCATAAGAAAGGTAAACTTTACATTGTTGCAAATAAAAATCTGATGTTGAAATATGACATCTATATATAAAAATGATCATTGTGTTCTTATCTTTACAGGAAAAGACTCTGAACAGAGTGGACTTTTGCGAAAAGCAAAAACTCTATGAATGAACAACAGCTAAAGTCCAAATGCTTAAGTGCTCCATATGTATACATTACCTTCAATTACTTCCTCCATAAGTATTAATAACAAAACATATAACGTGTACTTGTTGTGATGTATCTCATAATGAGTCTTGGTGTGATTGCTTCCTGGACTTGGAAATATATTTATAGTATCGGGACGGTAAAGACTAAATCGGGAAACTATGCCTGAGCACCAAGGCAGCATGTCTATGCTACCTTTAGTCCTTCCCTTCATGTCTCAAAGCCTGGGAGTGTCTACAGTATGGATGTAAAATGTTTAGAATATTTGTGTTGAATCTACTGATAATGTCTTTCAGTCAAAAGCACAACAGAGATGGAGCAAAAAAGAATCATTCCAAACTTTTCTCTCCTACCACTGTGTGGATACACTTTTCTTTTCACTTTTCACTGCAGTAATGTTAAAGTCTCTTTAGATGACTGTATTGTTTGCTCTCCTGGAGCTCAGGTTTCTTTGAGAGATGTGGCAGCCCTCATTTATTCTGCCCTTTAATGTTCATTCTACTGTATAACTACATGTTTTTCTTTCTGTCAGTTTGTTTATCCATTCCTTTGGAAAGAGGACATCCCACTGTGCTTGTCAAGTTATGAACATAACCTTAAGATATCCAAAGTGGAATATTTCCAATGCTTGATTTGAGTTGTATTGTTTTTGTATTTAGAAGTAAAAAGCGTATACAAAAACATATCCATATGTGTATACAAATAAATAAATAAATAAATAAATAAATAGACAAATAAATAAAAATCACAGTGCATTTTCACTCCTACAGGTATTAATTTTAAAGCATTTTACTTCTGTATTTAATAAATTGGAAAAAGACAGTAAGTATGCAAGTTTTATGTGTTATTTTTCCCCAATATGTTATATTCAAATGTTTAACTTATTTAAAGTGTGTTAATCTTTTTTCAATTAGAAAATCAACATGTAATTTGACTTGGCCAAATTTCTGTATATTGGCCATTCTACCAAATTAGTTCAAACTGAACTGCCACAGTAAAATGTAAAAAAAAAAATTAATAAGCTAAATATATACAAAATCATTAATCATAATATACTTTCTATTAGGAGGTGTCTGTCCCAAGGTCTAACCCACATATGTCAAACACAAGGTCTGCGGGTTGTGGCACAATCCTTTCTGGCCCTCGAAATTAGTTTCTTATAAATATTAGCTTGTTCCACAGTGTGCTACACTACCATGCCTAGCATGGATTGAAGGGAACAAAAAAAAGTTTTATTTTTGTAACCTTGACACTTGCATATACAGCATACATATGTATAATGAGTTTTCAAAATGTTATATAATAAGACATTTTTAGTGCCTAAAGTTTGCTTATTTAGATTTGCAAAGAAGTTGCAATTTTTTTAATTGCCTTTTTGTTTACTCATCTTTAACAAATGTGTCAATAATTACGTGGCAGATTGTAAATGGACAATACCGAATACAACTATTAAACAAATTATACAAAGAGACAGCCACAGGGGGTATCATAATCTCTTGATAAAATAAAGGTGCCAGGAAAGGTTCTTCGTGTGATGCTGTAGAACACAGTTTCCCAGCCTTGGTTCTAGAGAACCTTTTAGTGTTTTCCCAGCTCCCAGCACACCCAGTTTAAGCCATGAAGGGCTTGTTAATAAGCTGATTATTTGGATCAGATATGTTAGAAGCAGGGGAAACACTAAATTCACAGGATAGGGGGTACTCCAAGACCAGGGTTTGGAACCCCTGCTATAGAAGAACCATTTTGGTTCCCAAATAAACATTTCAGTAGATGGTTCTTCAAAGTAGCACTTTTGTAAATAGAATGTGTGAGTGTGAAGAACCTTTTAAAATAACCTCCACATAATGTAAGGGTTGTTAAAAGAACATTGGTAAAGAACTTTTACATTACATAAAGGTTCTTTATACCTTTAAAAAGACTTTTAAAACCAAAATCTTTTTTCGAAATCTGTGTTTAACATCTTAAGTGATTATTATTCGTTCAAGAGCCATTGCCATTGCGAGTAGCTTATATTCATATTAGCTATGATTGTTTGCACTAAGAGTGAGCTGCTATTCATCCCTGCAACTACAGGTCCTCATCATGATCTTGCCATCTCATTCGAGAACTCTCTGATTGTCCCATCTGTAGAGGAAAGAAGTCTTGGTGTGGTTCTGTGATGGCCAGTTATTGTTCTCGACTCACATTGCGAACCTAACTGCAGATTTCTCCGAAACAACATCCGGAGGATCCGACCCTTTCTCACTCGAGAGGCCACCCAGGTACTAGTGCAGTGTCTTGTCATCTCAAGGCTTGACTACTGCAACTCGCTCTTGGCTGGTCTTCCAATGCAGGCCATCAAGCCTCTGAAACTCATCCAGAATGCAGCAGCACGGCTCGTCTTCAATCTCCCCAAGTTCAGCCACGTCACCCCACTGCTGCGCTCCCTTCACTGGCTTCCTGTAGCTGCACGCATCAGATTTAAAACCCTTATGCTTGCCAAAAATGGACCAGCCAAAAATGGACCAGCCACTCCCTACTTGATGGCAATGGTGAAATCTCAAACTGTACCATGAGCCCTTCGAGCTTCGAGCACAGCTCGACTTGACCCGCCATCCTTCAAGGCGCACGGAAGGCAAGCATCAAGACTGTTCTCTGTGCTGGCACCCAGGTGGTGGAACGAACTCCCACTGGCTGTCTGTACAGCAGAGTCTCTCGCTGTCTTCAAACGCAGACTGAAGACACATCTCTTTATACAGCACTTAAATGAGCACTGAATTAAGTATTGATTGTAAAATATTGTACTGCACTTATGTATTGTATTGTATTGCACTGCTCTGTGTTCAACTCTGTTCCTTTTTCTCTAGGTATCAACAGGGACTTTTTGTTTCTAGCAGTATCTGAGCTCAGGACTGGCTTTCTCTCTAACCTATTGGTAACTAGCAAAAATACTTTTTCTGGATAGACAAAGCACTTTTTGTAAGTCGCTCTGGATAAGAGTGTCTGCTAAATGCTGTAAATGTAAATGTAAATGCACTAAGCATTATGTGAATTTTCTGCAGGAGGAGAAACACATGAGTGCGGTTCTTCATCTTCCTGTTGCTGAACACATGATACCTCCTTCCACATGCATGTATCAGTTGGAGGTCAAATCCAGCCTCTTCTGTGTAGGTTTCAATTGTCTTGTTAATATACTTGAGATCATCTCCACAAGTGAACAACACAATCATGTACTTGTGCACTTCATTGCCAAAAAATTATTGAAAGTTCTTGACAGTGTTTTTCTCCTCCTGAGTGAAACGTCTCACATCAATCACGGGAAGAAAGGCAAGAGGACCAGGAGCAGCCAGTTGAACACCAATCACAGTCTCTTTGATTACAGCCTCATTAGGTATGATTCTGTCATACAAACCAGGGGTGTCAGTGACTACAATAGTTTGGCCATTGATCACTTTTGTTTTTTGTGAGCAAGAAGCTGCGATGAAGGTAGCTCTGGGCACAGTGCAATGGTTCACTGTTTTTTTTTGTTTTTTTTTACTTGTAATTCTTTCTTCATAAGTGCAAATCAAATCAGGAATTAACACCAAGCATTATCGCCAAATGAGATGTCCTTTACTTAGTCCTTACTTTCATCACCTGTTACTGAGGTTAAACAGTCTGCTAGTAATAAACACGTGCATCCTTTTTATCAACTGACTTTTCACATCAGCATGCTTCACTGAAATGCAAGCACATCAACAATTTAATTAAATCCTATCATTGTTTCGCAGTACTGTTCCTATAACTGTAATCATCCAATGACTACACAGAGAGGAAGAGAGACTGTACCACAGACCTCCGTCACATGCTACAGTAGGCAAAGTCTAGGGTGCAGCTGTCTTTCCTCACTCTGGAAGCCTCCTTCCCCCTCTCTCCTCGATTCATCCAAGCGCATTTAAAGAAGTGACGTTGCCGGGCTTTGACTGACCTGCAGATCACGGGCTGGAGGCGTGAACGAGAGGAATCGACGACACATCAGAGCTCTGAGATCCTCCCTTATTCAATAGTTGAACACCTAACGGTTCTCTGTTACAAGAGCACCACCATGTGGACATGTTTAGAAGTTCTTTGATTAACACTGCAGTAATGTTAAAGTCTCGCTAGATGGCAGTGTGGTTTACTCCCCTCATCCTGAGGTTCCTTTGGGAGACGTGGCAGCCCTCGTTGACTCTGCCCTCTATTGTTTATTCTACTGTATAACTATCTCCTTTTCTTTCTGTCGGTTTGTTTATCCATTCCTAAGAAAAGAAGACATCCCACTGGTCAGTGTTTTGCACGAAGCACTTATGTTTATAGTCCAGTGTGACTTTTTTCTTGGGTTTGCAGTGAGTTGTACTGTTTTTGTATTTAGAGTCATGTTTAGGAATTAAATGGTACCACATAACATGATTGTGAGTCCATGTGTATCTATAAAAATGTCAGTTTCACTCTTTTAGTCTCTCTCTCTTACTTCCACACACACACACACACACACACACACACACGTGCACATTAATGTAATGAGAGGTTAGTAGAGGATGGCAGCACCAGTTCCGCCCTTTATCCAAATGTTCCTGGTAGATATAATCCAGTCTCTCTCTCTCTCTCTCTCTCTCTCTCTCTCTCTCTCTCTCTCTCTCTCTCTCTCTCTCTCTCTCTCTCTCTCTCTCTCTCTCTCTCTCTCTCTCTCTCTCTCTCTCTACTACATTCCATCAGGCTCCACACACACTCCAGAGGGGCCCTGCCATGCATGACTCCCACCACATACTCGCTTCTGCTGGAAAGGCTTGAGAAAGGGGGGCAGGGAAGACACACACACACACACACACACACACACACACACACACACAAAGCGAACAAAAGCCAATTAAACAGCAGCCGCAGACACAGTGACTGCTCCAATGCTGCTTTTCCTGTTTAGATCATCTGTGTACAAACTCACATACTGATGTATGATTAAGAGAAAAGGGTGTCTTTTTCCTTCATCTGATGATGTGGTGACTGACATGCCGTTATGAGGGGACATCACAGTCTGAGTGAAGGTCTGAGTGAATACTGGTCGCATTTAAAGATCCTCAAATGTGCGATAGGTGCTACGTTTAAAAGTACTGCTTATGGCACAAGCCTGTTTATGGCTGAAGACTTTTAGTACAAGATGAACAAAGGAATTGTGCCCCCTGAAAAGTGTGCAAAAATTTCATAATGAATGCAACAATACAAACTTATAATAAATTATTGTTACATTAACATACATGAAAAATTAAAGACCTTGAAGCTTCCTGTAAAGTTAGTGCTTTAGGGAACCAGCATTATGACAGTGACTACTGTGCATGAATATAGCCAATAATCACAACACTGCTCTTTATGCATTACATTTTGAAGTGTAGTAGGTCCTGCAAGACTGAGACTGAAGAGTGCTTCTCTAGATGATGACTCAGTGGCCGCATACTCCTCCACTGCTGAGTCAGTCATCATGCCTGTGAGTGTGTTTCTATGGTGACCCAGCTTGACCCAAGAGGATGAACTGCATCCATGTGCAGCTCAAGCTCCTCCTCATGCTCCTTCACTGAGCAGCAACTTCTCAAACTCACCTCACACTCTGACATACACTCCGCCTCCATATGAGTCATTACCAGTAACACACACATAGTCGTCATCTGAGCGTTCTGTGCTTGTCTGTAAGCCTAGAGTTTATTTGGGTCATCTTATGGATCTAGTTCTGGACAGTCACAG